GAGTCTCATCCTAAAAGCTCACCAGGCCAAATTTTGTCAAGCTCTACTTTTTGAAATATTTCAGAGGTCAGTTCATACAATTCACTGATTTCATAGATGGGGAAATGGAGAGATTTGCCCTTAGCAAACCATCAGAGCTCATTAGTTAAACCAGCCTGGATTCGGTGCTCTTTCTGTTACTAATTTAGTGGAGACTGCAAGTTGCCCACCAAAATCTGCTCTCCATTCTTTCTTGGCACATGAGTAGACTAGAGTTCTCAGCCTCCTTTGCAGGTAGGTGCAGCCACCGGACTAAACTCCTGCCAACAGAAAGTGAGAAGTACCCACAGCCACTGCAGAGTCCGGGCTGTAAGGCATCAGGTGTGCTTCCTCTGTGCTCTGCCTGCTTCCCACTGGCTGGAACCGGTGATGACCCAGCTTCAACTGCGCGGGTGATGACAATGCCCCCCAGAGATTGGAGAGGCAACACGATATAAGGAACCTGTGTCCCTGAATGACCGCTTGGAGCAAAGCCGCCCTGCTGACCTGGACTGCTCACTTCAGAAATGTTAACTCCCCTCAGAGTTGTTATGTGAGAAACAAACTTCTTTGTTCTTTAAGCCACTGTATTGTCGAGTCTGTTACAGCAGCTTAGCTTTTTACCCTAATACAACCATGCAACTTCCTTTGTGCGTATTCAAAATAGCGTTACAAATGACCAGTTAACCATCTTTTAAGAAAATAGCCCTAACCTCCCAAGTATGTGATAATCAAATAATGAAATTTCTTCCTGTGGCTACAATCCCAAGATTGCTTCATCCTGGTTAAAGGCTATTTAACAATTGAAATGGATCTTTTATGGAGAGACCCACTTAGTTTTTATGTTTTCATGCAATTAATTCAAGCAATATTTGACTTTCTAGATGCCGGGGACACAGACAGGGTCCTTTCTACGTATGGAACGTTGTTTTGTTTTTAATGTTGTGCTGTTATCCTCTTTAGAGAATGTGGGACTGAAGCCAAGAATATAAATAATTACTGAGAGCTACAAAGGGTCAAACCACGTACCTATTGATCAACTGTCTCTTGCTTAGCCCCACAAATCAAGCAAAATATTTTAAAGACTAAGAGTCCAGCTCTGTTTTCAAAGTATTTCCTAACCGCTTAGAACAGCATTTTTTGAACTGTAATGTGTCCAAAGCCTATCAAGATTTTTACTTTATGTCAATGATGTATCAATAAAACCAGGGCGAAGATTTTACTAAGAGAGGCAGATGGACCTAATAGCTTGCTGAGTGTTGGAATCAATTACCAAAGTCACTGAGATAGCTCTGGCCCTGCCCGAGACTCTGGGCACCTGGGCGTGTCTGCGGACTGATCAGCTGAGGCTGGCTGGTACCAGACGGCGTTCCTCGCCCTCACTCCAGGCTGAACACACAGCCCAAAGCTGGTGCCCGTGGTCCCTCCCCAGTCTCAAATGAGGTTTGCTGAGATTTAGTTGATTAGAGGTCTGCCTGGCTTTGGGCTGTGACGCATGGTTTGGGCCTTAGTCTCCCCATCTGCACGAGGTGATATGGCTCCTCCCATCTCTACATTTATGACAATCACTAGAAAGAACTACTTTCCTTCACCACACTCAACAGCGAAGTCACTCAGAGGGCGGCAGGCAGAGAAGGGAAGCTCCGCCTCCGGCCGTGCCTCAGACCAGGGCACCAGCTGATTTCTGGTGCTCTGCCCTCCCCAGGCTCTCTGCTGCTGGTGGACAATTCCATCTTGCTGAATTTACAACTTCTAAGATAGGAGCCCTAGGCGCAACCACAGTGCATTTAACTTTGTAGGTGCTTCCTTGGTATTAGGCACTGTTTTTTTTCTTCCAAGAAATTCCTGATTTCCAATTGCGAAAAGCAACAATTTCAAATGGTGTGCCACAAGAATTTTTGAAACATGCAATATGACTATTTAGTCAGGGACACTGACTTCTTTTCCCCTAGATTGTCAAACAAAAAGTGACAACAGCCAACGCAACAAGAGCCATCTGATGTGAATCAATCAAATTACACTTTTTTTGTCAGATTAGCAAAAAACATATATTTTTGGTGGGCCACAGAATTTTAGTAATTAGTTTATGTGCACTGAGAGATGAAAAAGGTTGAAAATCACCACCACAGAGATAGCAATGAATTCAATGGGAAGCTGCTGCTTCAGGTATCTCAGATGGAAGGATTAAAGGCTGAGGTAGGATTATTAAAACTAGTTTTTCCTGCTTGTCCACTGAGACTTTTTAAAAGCTTTAAAACACATTCAGCAACATGAGTGAAGAACGTTTCAGAAAGACTAAGGTCCCTGCGTGAAAGCTGCCTGCTGACACAGAGCTCAGCAGCCTGCCAGCTCCGCCTCAGCGCCGGCCCCGCCACTCCCCAGCTGCACTCCTCCGCTGAGCCTCTGCTGAGCCTCTGCTGAGCCCGCGTCCCCATCCGTCAGCAGGAACAGACAGGAACAGAGACGGCACCCGCTCCCAGGGCTCTGTGAGAAGATATGTATATAAAGCGCTGGTTCTGCTCAACTCAAGAGTGTACGTTGCACCCCACTTCCAGTGGAACACGTGGCTTCCCTGAACTAATTAATAAACTGATTGGGAAAACTATCCCATGTTTAAAAAATATTTTTTAAAATCCTCACCCAAGGACATTTTTTCACTGCTTTTAGAGAGAGAGGAAGAGAGGACGGGAAAGAGAAACATCGACCGGTAGCTTCCTGTACATATCAGGACTGGAACTGCATGCAGCCCAACCAGGGACTGAACCTGCAACCTGAGCACATGCCCTGACTAGGAATCAAACTCACAACCTTTCAAGTTATGAGGTGACGAGCCACACCACCCAGGACAAGGAAAATTATACCATGTTTAAGTGTAAAAAACAACATGGGGTGGATACAATGCTAATTTCTTGTTTAACCAGAGAAAATTTACTCTTGAGATTCGTATCAGTTAAGGGCGGGTGAGGCTCAGGGGCCCTAGACAACCCACCAACTGGGGGAACAGGGGGAGGAGAAGCCACTGAAATGAGGCCGAGAAACCCTGCCCTCCAGATCGCACGGTGCCACGCCTGCAGCCCTGGCCTCCGACCCCTGCCCTGGCGTCACACTGTGCCACCTCAGCCACACACCTCCCCCAACACACACAGACACTCCCATCACCAAGGTGCGGCAGGTCCTTATGTCACCTGCTGTAACAGCAAGTGTCCTTTCTTTGCGGCCGTTATCACAGCTGTGATTCTGTGCTTGACCGGTGCGGACTTTTTGATCATCACTGTATTCCCAGCGTCTACCACAGCACGTGGCTGATACACTCTGAATACTTACCGGCTGAATGAACGGGCTGGCCATAGCTTAGCATTCTTTAGGGGCTGGTTTCTGCCTGAACCCTGGCGTCTGAATGAAGTCTGGCATATGAAGGTGGGTACACTGAGGGGCCCCTAGGTCAGCGGTCAGAGCCAAGAACAGGAGGCCTGGCAGGGGTGGCAGGGGAAACTCATGCACACCCAGGTACCGCCAACAGGTGAGGTGACAGATGAGGACAGTATGTACCATGTGCTATATCCTTTGGGTAAGAGAAAAATAAAATTGTATATATCTGTATTTGTTTGGTTTTGCTTAAAAACTCTTGCCCTGGTCAGTGTGGCTCAGTTGGCTGGAGCACTGTTCCGCAGCCAAAAGGTAGCCAAGAGGTTGTTCAATTCCTGGTCAGGGCACATACCTAGGTTGTGGGTTCAATCCCCAGTCTAGGCACTTGTGATTAACAACCAACCGACACTTTTCTCTTGTACTGATGTTTCTCCCTCTCCCTTTCTCTCTCTAAAAGCAATAAAAAAATGTTCTTGGGTGAGGATAAAAATAATTTAAAAATTTAAACTCTTAAGATATATAAGAAACTGGTAAGTGTTTATCTATGGGGGAAGAAGGAAGTGAGGTGGGGAGATTTCTCAATGTCTTTTTGTATCATGTCGATTTCTGAACTATGTAAAAAAATGTAGTAAAAAAAACTTTAAAAAAAATGTTAGAAGAAAAAAACAGAGCAAGGCTCTGGAATTCAGTGCTGTTAAAAGGTCCATCAAGCTCGACAGCTCTTGCACTTTATCCTCCCCTTAGGTGCCCAGCTAACAATCCATTCACCAAGGACTGCTGTTTAAGGTCCAGCAGAAACGCTCCTTCCTCCACGATCCCTTCCCCAGCCCTCCACAGAGAAGTTCCACACAGCTCTTATGGCCTCTGATACTCTCCTACCCAGGTTGGTTGTCTGTGCATATATATTTGTAAGCTCGGTAAAAGCAAGAGCTACACCTCATTTGATCTCTGTATCCCTATTGCCTAGTTCAGGGCCTCTCATATATAGTAGACTCCGAACAAATAAAGTACTACTTGAGAGGGGAAGTTATTGCTTAATTGGTACAGAGTTTCTGTTTGGGGTGATGGAAATGTTTTGGAAATAGTGGTGATGGTTACACAACATTGAGAATGTAATTGATACTGCTGAATTATAAACTTAAAAATGCTTAACTTTAGTCCTGCTGGTGTGGCTCAGTTGGTTGGAGCATCATCTGTAAACCTGGGTCCGGTCCCTGGTTAGGGCGAGTGGCGTGTAGAGGAGGCGATCAATCGGTGTTTCTCACTCACGTCAGTGCTTCTCTCCTCCTCTCTCCCTCCCTTCCCCTCACTCTAGATTCAGAGGGCGTGTCCTCCCGTGAGGATTAAAAAAATGCTTCACTTCATGTCATATGAACACATGCATATACGTCACATTGTTGGCAGCTCAGGTCATTCCAGAAAGAGCCTCAACTGGAGCCAACATAAATCTCTAATAAAGACCCTCTCCACACGTCTCCCAATAAACATTTGCTAACAAAATAAATAGCATGATCATATGAAGAATGTCAAATCTGAGAAAAGCTATCTGTTGATAACAAAGCACACTGTGTATAAACTGGATGTGACATATACATCTTTATAAGGACTAAAGAGGCTCCTGCAAACTTTTTCTTTATTTAACTTTCCTCAAAAATAGACATTCCTAACTCAACAGGAAGACAGCAGTGATAGTAACGACCCCACCCAAGGACCTCAGCAAGTGTCCCAGGCTCTGATTTTCCAAGCCCCATGTCGCAGCCACCATGGACTGATTCTCTCCTTCTCCATGAATTCCAAGCACTGGTTGGGTTCACTTAACCATCTCGCTGGGGCCAGTCCTTTCCTGCCATTCACTCAAATACAGAACTGATTTGTGAGGCTCACAAGTACTTCAGTCAGTCATTTTTAAAGTGTCTGCAAATTAGATATTTTTAGCCAAAGTCAGTGACATAAAACTTTTTTTTAAAGGACATAGTGAATCCCGGTACTCGTCACCAAAAAGATCCTCAAGTGTAAAAAAGTGCTATCTGTGCCTTTTTAAAAAATAAAACCTTTACGGTTAACAGAAAAAAAACCCTTCTGAACGCATCATTGCCAGACACACTGGCCACAGCAGGAGCTGACAAGACCTGCTATTTCCACGACAGAGAACATTACACTTTAAAATCACACCACTGAATGACAGGGCACTCCTCTGTCCAGCCTGGGACACAGACGTAAGCCTCCCTCCTGAACTGGATCCCTGCCACCTTTGCAAAGATCCCGGACGTGTCTCTTAAACACTGGGTCTCAGCTCTTCCCCTGGGGGTCCCATCTCTTCAAGTTCTTTGTCACGGTCTGGGGAAGTACTCTGACTTTCTATGGTGGTGACGGCATCTGAATCCAATCTTCTTCTCTTCTTCAGTTGGTGCAAGTGGGATTTTGATTTTATATGTGCTAACAAAACAACAACAACAAAAAATCATTAGGGTTTTCTATAATTAATCCTAGAATAAAAAATTAATGACACAACTGTTCTCTTCAACAGTAATAGGATCAGCACATATATTGGTATAGCTGCTTAGCAATTTTAAAGGGACAGTAAGTTTTATGGCCTGCTAGCTAGCAAACTACAGTGAGCTACAGTGAGCAAAATGCATCCTGCTAGGTTGCCTTACGCCCCTAATTCTCCCAATAATCTTGCAGACAGTACTATTCCACTGATTTTATACAGGAGGAAACTGAAGTTCACAGAAATCTTACATTTTGTCCAAGACCACACAGCAGGTAAGTTCCTCAGCTTACTTACAGCTTCAAAAAGAGACCCAATTTTCCAGAATCAAGACTTTTGACTCAATTTTTCAGTATGGGGCCTCCTGTTACAGATAAACTTCAACTTACACACCTCAAAAGACAGGAATCCAAATTCCCATCTGCACTGCAGGACAGCTGCCCGGCCCCGCCGCAGGCCTGCAGCACCCGGAGATGCCCTGCCCACTGCCGCCCTGCTCGCACAGGGTGTCTCTCCCGGTCTGACCTCCCTCTGCCTGGGTCAGATAAGCCATTTCAAAGACTGACTCACAAGGCTCACATTATCCAAGCACACAATGCTCCAGGCAGATAACCAGACACATTCTTTTCTGACTATCCCTTCTGAGGGTCCACAGAAGAAGTAAAGCTACTGTTCCTGGTATGGATTTCTGACCTTACTCCACAGTTCCCACCCTCTGACCAACTCACACGGCTCCTTTCCCTAGCTTGTTCTTTTTCAATGAAATCTTATTTGGGAACACCTACAAATTCAGACAACTAGATTAAATTCTATTTTCTATGTATTTAACTCTTCATTTTTAAGAGTTTAGAAGCAAAAACAAGGAAGAAGTCAGAAGTCAAAGAAAGGTTCACTTTGGGGAAGAGTCAGCTTTGTTCTCTAGCTAGAGCTTAAGGCAAAAAAAAAAAAAAAAAAAGGGGGGGTGGGGGATGCTCTGGACCGCCTCTCCATGGCAGCAGAAGACAGGCGCAAGGACCTGACAGATGGCACTATAGAAGGGCTCACACAGGCTACGCTCACAAAGGCTCACAAATGTTGCTTCTCTAAGGCTACCCCTGAAGGACACTGGACAAATCAAACCACTAGGTTTCCTTTAGAAAAAACAATCAGACATTTCTCTCTCTCTCCTTTCATCATTATAAACCAACAACAATCGAGGCTTCTTCTGCTGCTTGGGCAATCACAGCCGTCCCCAGTCTCTGACAATGGAGTTCATTTTGCCAGAGTTACCAGTTAATAGTAATCATTCTACTGGTTGGTATGGGGAGAAAAATGTACTTCTAAGAGAATCCCATGCAAAGCAGGACTCTGAACAGAAGGATCCCAGCCACTAAGTAGCCTGACTGTACAGAAAAGGAGTGAGCCTTAAACAAGTTTCTACATGCCATGTAAATTCAAGGAGGCTAGGGCCCTTTGGGCTCTGACTGGACGAGCACAGAACTCTAGCAGGAGTGTGGTGTGGCTCTGTGGCAGAGGCAGACCCAGGCTCTGAAACAGAGACAGAGCCTGCATCGTGCAGGGCTGATCCCTGGCTGGTCTGAAGTATCTTATAAAGAAGACACTATCAGTAACCACCTTCTTTATACATGATTGACAGCCTTGCTTTCACGCTTTGCTAGGTTGAACATTAAGTTTCCCTTAACACTCTTCATCAGTTTTAGCAACCACCATCATTTCAATGGTGACCTTAAAAATTACCAAAGAGACACCACTTCTGAAGAAGGTACTCAGGAAGAGTAACTTCCTGCTCCCTCCCAGCTGTTTGTTTCTTTGGTGAGGAACCTTGGGTGAGTTGCCTGGTTTCCCTTACAATCCCACCTCACCCCACTAAGGTCTAACCATGAAAGGCCAAGGAACTCCTGGAAGGCAGAATCAGAAAAGGCCAAGGGGCTCTGGAAAGTTAACTATCGACCCTGCAGTATAAAATATCTACTCTAGCTGAAGCTAGAGGGCCCATGGTCTTCCTTTGAAATTCAGAATACAGAGATAACTGTCCAGTTCAGAAAGGCATCCACGAAATTTGGGCACAGGCTCTGAGGAATCTGGCCCTCCCTTTACAAATAAGCAGACTCTGCATTCAACATTGCAAAGACCTTAAATATCATGAAGTCAGTGGGACCCACCCTTACAGATTGTTCTATGCCCTTCCCCAGACTCTACCTGCCCATTCGCGGTCCCCAATGATGATTCGGTCACAGAGGTCACACATGTGATAACTTCTCTTGTTCTCAGTGTCATTGTGTGGCACCCTGACTGGAACAGCAGCAGGCTTATGGCCCTGAAAGAACAGCGGGGGAAGCGGGGAGAGGCATTCAATCCAAAGAGACTTGGATACTATTCTGATATTAAGGGTAGTGGTCCCAAGATTCCTTTTTCTCATCCCAGAGAGCAGGAGGGCTGTGAAGTGGTTTTAGAAACAACTTTTCTGAATGTGAAAATAGAAATGCAGCCTTCAGAAATCTAAAAGTAGCTAGCCCTTCTGCTCTATTACATGGAAAAGACAGCTTGGTTCCCGACAGAGCAACAAAGGTGTGAGCTAAGGAAAGCTGTTGGAAAACCAGACCATAGACAGTACCATGATTAATAATTACCTGGACGAAACTCTGCACAATTTCAAGAGCAGGTTCAAGAACAGACTCCTCCCACTTTGAGACATCAGATACTTCTAAGCCATACACTGGAGGGACACTGGGACCAGGTCCTAAAGATGACAAAGAAAAGTTGTGAGAGGTCAGCCCCAAAACCTAATCTACTCTGCTTCCAGGACTTCAAAATCCACAAAGGAAACATGCGGGCCAAAGGAATTAATATTCTGACCATGCCATTCATTCTTACTGGAAACATGAACCTAAGAGCTACATACAATCCAAGAAAGACCTAGAAAGCTGACTTGTCTGCAGCCAACAAGTCTAGCTATATAATCCAAAGTCTCAAGTGTAGGATCATCCAAATGAGTCAGGAAAACAATACAGAATAACAGCTCTGGTGACCGTTGTGTGGACTATAATATAAAGACAGCACACTACAGGAGGGAATAAACTAAAGCTTGAAGTACTTGTGAATGAGTGGAAGACTGGGGGAGCCACGAGTACAGCCACAGGCACTTCATCCATCTGAGCCAACCACATTCAGTCCCTGCTGGTAGCTTCTCCAGTCTGTGGACACACTAAATTGCCTTCCACTGCTAGGATAACCCAGTTGCCTACAGGCAAAGAGCACTGCCCCATGGACAAAAACATCAAAGTCCTCAAGATGCCAACGGCTGGCAGGTGCTAGCCTTTTGATTGTGCCAACCACAAATAAGATTCTTCTTAAAGTGGACTGGGCTGCACCTGCCACCACACGGAAAGGTGAGACTGGGAGGGTGCAGGCAGCATCCACAGCACACCTGGCCTTGGCTAAGCTCTGCACCTGTTTCCAGGCCACTCTGTATTTTCCTTTCCCCCCTAAGTCCTTTGTTGGGCTTCTGTGCCCTGTCTAAGCACCTTTCAACAAGTTCTCGGCTCCCAGCTGCTATTCCTGGCTTGAGGCCAAGGCCAAGCCCGGGTGGGGAAGTCCCTCTGGCTTCTTGCCAGAACCATATCCCAGCAGACCAGCCCTGGCCAATCACATACAGCTCCTGATTTATGGGGCAGCTGTGCCTTTCACACTAGCACCAGGACTGTGCCGGCGCACGCCTGAATGAGGAATGGGCATATGATGCACTCACTGTGCCATCAACCCCTCCTGACTCAGGGATGGGGGAGTTACTGCGGCTCTACCACAGGAGGAAGTTCCAAATTATTACAAAAAAACATCTTTTGTTACAGACTAATTATAGTCCTGGGGAGAAGAGAAGCTGCATTAGAAATTTGTAGTAGTGAACTTCAATTTCGGCTGACTCAGTCTTCTTCTATCTAACAGGAGGACATGCAGAGAAAGCAGGGTAAGTAGAAGTGTAAGACTTGGCACCAGAACGACCGTGGAGAGCTCAGTCAGGGGGAGATCCAGGGGAGAGAACTTCGCAGTCTGGTGGTCATGTTCAGAGGCAGGGTGGAGGGCCTCCACCGTCCTAACTGAAAGCCGAAATAAAAGCTAAACAGGGGCTGATTCAGGAGCATACTGAAGTGCCCACAAGACAAAACTGGGGTTTCACTTCTGATTGCTTAGTCTTTTTTTTTGTTTTTACTTTAAAAAACTCTTATTGATTCATTGATTTGAGAGAAAGAAAGAAAGAAAAAGAAAAAGAAAGAAAGAAAAAGAGGGAGAGAAACACTGTTTGTTGTTCCACTTATTTATGCATTCATTGGTTGATTCTTGTATGTGCCCTGATCAGGGACTGAACCTGCAACCTTAGAGTATTTGGACAATGCTCCAACCAACTGAGCTACCTGGCCAGGGCCATCCTTGCTTAATCTCTTAATAAGCACACAATTTACTACCCAAGGCCAATACTAATGCCGTCTAGTGAACATTACGGCTGAAGAAACGAGAACGGGGGAAAGCAGAGTATGGGCTTCATCGCCAGGCCCTGAGCATCAGCTGGGGGATTTCTGGCAAGTTATTCAACCTGTCTTAAGCCTCCATTTCCTTATCTGAAAAAAGAAAACAAATAACACCTACCATGAAGGCTCAATAATTTATGGATAGCACCAATTTAGTGCTGAGGATCAAATGAGATTTTCCTTTCCTTTTCCTTAAAAGTGCTATTCAACTAAAATTAAAGTTAAAGAAGTATGAAGCACCACATATCTGAACACAAGGGTGCTACTGGTTAAGGTTTTGTTTGATCGCTCTGTCAAATGATAAGCTAAAATCAACCCTGAGCACCAAGTCTGCTAAGAAGATGCTGCTATTTTGCTCTTACGTGTTTACAGCCAACTTGCATGTATTCAAGGCATAATGCAGACTCTTTATTGGAAAGATCTGTTTTCTGAGACATCACAAGGCAAGAAAGACCCCTGGACAACCATTTATGCAATAACACCCACCCAGGTCAGGTTTCCAATCTTAAAACAGGTCCAGAAACTAAAGTTCATCATCTGGATGAGGCAAGGACATCTATATTCTATTGAAAACAGACCCAAGGGATAAGTAAAAGCATGAGACTTACTGCTCAAAAAACGGTTTTTAACCCATCGGTTTTGCTTCCGGGCATATCTCTTAGTCACTTGTTTCAGAGCTTCAATACCTGAAAGTTACAGTAGATGTAAGAACCTCCAAGTACTTCTCGCCGCGTCAAAAGGCAGGCCCACGCAGCCCAGCAGAAGAGAAATTAACCATAGCAGCACACTGGTGGACCCTTGGTGGAGAAAACTCTCAATTCTGAGCTGCAGGCCATTTGGGACTCTTCCAGTCTCAGCTCTTTCTCAGACCATACCATCCAGGAACTCTGTCACCCAAGGACATCCAAGGCTAGGTTAGATGGAGAGATTCACACCTTTCTTTAGGAGCTGGTTACTAGTCTCTGGTGTGCATTTTCCCTCAGTGATCAGGTACTCGTGAAATTCCTTGAAGCCAATTGATTGGAAGATACCATGTTGATAGTCCTGGCTGGGAACAGGAGAGCATCAGCTGATGAGCCATCGCATCTGAGAGCTAGCAGGGGCCTTGGAGATGATCTAGCTGAGCCATTTCATCCCTTGGATGAGGAAATTGAGATCCTTAGTAGTTACTGCCTCCCGGAACCTCTTCCTCCACCACCCCCACCTGCTGCCAGGTTACTACCCTTGAAAATTAACGCCTGGGAATGCTTGACAGATTAGAAAACTGCAACTGCAACGACTACACCAAACCTCCTTTGACCAAGCCGTGCTCATAATGCCAAGAAGAAGGCTAACAAACAAGATCAAAAACCAGTATTATGTTTATGGTCTTCTGACCACAAGCAAGGGATAGAAAGTAGATTAATTAGGTCAAATCCTCACCTATTTTCTGCCACTTTCTCCTGATTATAGCGTCTGTGAAAATCTCTCAGTTCATCCAAGAGCCCAGCAGCAAGCATGTCATCCACTCTTTTATCCAAGCGCTTATCTAGAACTTGAATCAAATTAGCCCATCAAATTAGCCTACTATATACTTGCAATATGAATGGTCAAGCTGCATGAAGAGAACTTGTTCAAATGGAAGGAAGGGTTCAGAGTCCAAAGATTATATAACAATGCATACTACATTCAGTCACACTTAAGACACTGCAGCTCCAATAAAAACAGCCAGAAAGAGCCCGGGCTGGTGTGACTCAGTGGTCTGAGCACTGGCCTGCAGACCAAAAAGTTGTCAGTTCAATTCCCAGTCAGGGCACATTCCTGGCTTGTGGGCCAGGTCCCCAGTGGGATACATGGGAGAGGCAACCAATCCATGTTTCTACTGAACACTGATGTTTCTCTCCCTTTCTTTCTCTCTCCCTCCCTTTCTAAAAAATAAATAAAATCTTTAAAAGTAAACACATAAAAACAACCAGAACAAAACATCCATCCCATAAAGAGAAAGCACGCAACTGCAGCTTCTAGGGAGGACAAATACTTTATTCTCGTATGGAATGTACATCCACTGTTTACTGTGGAGGCAGCTGAGAACCCCTTGGTTTATCCTTCTTTTTTCCATCATATTTATTACTCTTGAGCTTTGTGTTACTTCACACTTAAGAACTCTCAGATGGCACCTTGGATGGGAACAAGGAACTTTAGTCCAAAGCCACCCCAGATACATCTTAAACCACTGCGCCACAGGAGCAAAGAGAGAGAGGTTGTAATCGCTCAGAGGTGCAGGTCGAACGCAGCCTTATTATGATCAGACACCAGGATTTTATGCTGCACTGTAGGACGCGTTTTAATTTACAAAAATTTCATTAGTAAAAGATTACCTTCTCTTATAAACTTATAACCAAAATTAATTTAACAACAAAATTTCCCCATTTCGGTCACGCTCTTCTACATCTCTGTCATTGCTATTTCTTGGACTGCAATGGTACTAACCTTTGTTCCTATCTTCCTAAAAGGTTTCCATTTATTGAGCATTCCAGATGTGTCAGGCACATTCTCAGCATTTTGTATGTATTATTAACTAATTCTCAGTGACGCTGCCAGTTATGTACTAACATATCTCCATTATACAGGAGAGAAAATAGGAGCACAGGAAGGTAAACTAACTTGCCTCAAAACTCACACAGCTAGATGATGGAGCAGGAATTTGAAGCCCAGACGGTCTGGCTCAGAGTCCATGCTCTTAATAACTACACTACACTGCCTATTCTCATAATAATTTCCTCATCGTTCCAGACCTAGCTCATAGGTTACCTTTACAAATTGGTCCTAACTCCCCAGGTAGACAATGCTCACCATCCCTTCTCTGTGGCTCCATAAAACTTCTAGCCCAACATTTATCACAGTGTAGCATCTCTCTCATTATTTGTTGCTCCACAAGACTGACAGCTTCTGAAGATCAGGCACTGTCTCATACTCATCTCTGAAATCCAAGTACCAAGCAGAATACTCGATACTTCGACCTCTTCCACAGGAGTCTTCCTTCTCTTTAGCTTTCTCCCTTGGATCCTCCCTGGACGGCAACCTCTTTTCACCCCACCCATCCTACCTCATCTCACCCTTGGCGCCTCATCCTAGTGTCGGGGGCTGCCCTTACTCCCTTTCCATACAGGCACTTAGGGGAATGGCACTGTGCCTTACTAAGTCAACAAATGATGGTAATGAAAGTAAAATTCGATCTATCTCTAATGGACTTAAGGGCATCAAAAGGCTTTTACCTGTTTGGTCAGCATGAAGCCAGAGGATGCAGGAGTTAGGGAACCTCAGAGGGCCTCCAAGGGGACCACCACCCTCTTCCGCACGTTGACGATAAAGAAATTCACTATGAGAAATTCCCGTTTCTTCAAACACTTGCAAGCTCCTAAGTCATTCGGGTGGAAGAATAAAAGCTATAAAAACTATTAGGAAATATTAATTCTCAAGGAGAGGCTATTTATTACAAAACACCTCATTCTCACTTGCACAGTATAAGCCCCTGAAGACATCTATAGCTACTCAGGGAGGGATCCTAAAGAAAACTGTAGGTAAATTAAGAAATACCACTATTCCTCTAAACATACATCAATTTTCCTGAAATCAGTTAAACAGGTTCAGAAACCAAAGCTTTCTTCTATACACATGAAATGGGACTTACTTTTCAGGTAGGCAATAAAAAGACCTTGTTTGGGACACTTTGTTACAAGCCAACAAGTCTAGTCTCGCTCGAATGCCTTTCTCACAGTAGAAAAGTATGTTGTATAGCCAGCTCATCAACTTTCTTTTTAAATATGTCTAAAATTGTGACTAATTCAGTATTCTACTAGTACAAAGATCAATGGAAAAAAAACTCACATTCTTACTCTTAAGCCTCCATCCACTCTGTCCTATCTGTTGTGTTACGCAGCACTAGGTAATTTAACCCCCAAATCTATACTCTACCACTCTGAGTGATTGCAACTTATCAGCTTGAAAGTGATCTTTCCCTTCCTGACCCAATTCTACTTCCTGAAACCCTAACACAAGAGCAGAGACCCCTTGTCATTCTGTATCACTGGTCATTCGAAGAGGACCTATGAGGAAAACACGTACAGTGACACAGATATCTCACTTATGGAGATTAGAGACTCAAACTAAAACAAAGATGAAAAAGGTCCTCCAATCCTCTAAAAGAGAGACTCCAGAGCTCTTGCTTAGAACTGACTGACTTGTGAAGACACAATTCTCACCTCACTACTAGTTCAAAAGCAGAAAATAAGGAATGGTGATAAGGAAGAACTACTTTATAGAAGGAAAGAAGAGTAAACCAAGGTTCAGAATCATATCATAAAACAATATTAAAAAAATGAGTGTTCATCAAAACATTCCTAAGTTTTCAAAAGAATTTTTGAAAGGTTTCTATTAAAATATTTTAAAAAGATGTTTGGATACTAGAAAGTATAAACTTCTTATCTAGAATATACACTATCAGGAAAATAAAACAAAAAATAGACTGCATTATCACTAAGGTGATATTGCCCTCAAAGTGGCAAAAAAAGCAAACAAACCACCTGAGCTATTACAAGGCGGGTGGCCCTCCACAGGGCAACATATCCCCAAGCCTTACTCTTCAGTATTAAAAATTTCACTGGAGTGGAGGAGGAGCACAATTAGGAAAAAAATTTCTAAAAAGGCTTCTGGGTGGGGAGGGAGCAATAAGGAAAAGAGAATTCAGTATATTCTGATCTAGAACATACTTATTTAAGTGGAAAACTTCATAACCCCTATCAACACCAAATGTTGCCGTAATACTTAATCTGTAAAACCATCCGCAGCCTAGCTATTTAGATCCTCTGTTCTGCCAGGTGTGGTATTATCCCCAACACAGAAAAATGCATCTAACACACCAGGCAGCAATTCCAAAACAAACTGAGAAAACTTGACCTTTTGAGTTCATTCACCACCTTTCTTCTCTTCAAGAAATATCTCCATGTGTAAAGGTGAGCTCCATGTGTAATCTATGAGACAGTTTATAAAATCTACCTCCCACGGGGAAAGCTGGTAGGGCAGAAATCGGCATTGCACAATCAATTATGAAACTCAAATCACAGTGTAAATGAACTGCATGCCAGAAAAATTTATATAAAAACTGTTATACAAGCAAAGATCAAGTAGAAAATGAAGCAAATTACACAGGCCCCAGGGGGAACTATATTGTATTTTGTATTTTTAATGTAACAACAAAGGGTACAACTATTTACTGATGTAGTTGGACTCTGGCAGTAACTCAGGGCCTCCTAACCTAAACTATAACACATCAATCTCTGCTAACTACTATCATCAAACCTCTCTCATCACCCAGGCACACCGACTAACTGACTGCCCTCTAACTCCACAGTAGCTCCGGGTCAGCAGGCCAGGCTTTCTTACCTGGCTACTTTGCGCTTGTCATGTGGGTGCAGCTTGGCAGCCATTTCTGGGTCCACCTGGCTCAGGCGTTTGTAGAGTGCATGTCCATCCTCCTTCTCAAGCTCCACTTTCCGGTCAATCACTTTCTTAGTGTCCATCTCCTGGGGCTATTAAATGAAGATTTAGAAGTAAATTTATTCAACAATGCAACAAGCACCGAGACAGTGTATGTGCCAGGGACTAAGGGCTGTAAGTGTTAGGAATACAGATTAGAGATGAATCAGAAGGGCCTGCCATGCAGTGACAGATCACAAACAGAAAATTCCAATACACCAGGGTAGTGCTGTGAGGCCACAGCAAACACAAAGGATAACTTACTGCTTAGAGAAGCACTCAGGTACCCTACTACCTGCTCAGAAGTACAAACGGGTACCAGGGCTAACAAACCTGTAGTAACACATCCAGGAATCTAGTATTCTCAGCAACTGTGACTAAAGAGTAGATCAAAATGGCTAGCACATGATAGTGTGCAAAATCCCATCCTATGCAATGGCATATCTGTAAGCAAGGTTAGTATTGGACATTTCTCTGACATATACAAGGGGGACCCCCCCGAATGGAATTATCTTCTGGAGGGCAGGCCTCTTGTAGTACAGCTTTCCCCTGCTAGGTGAGTGTTCTAGGAATCCATCTGTATCAGTGCACCAACTGGTGTTGTTGTGAGAGGCTGTGCTTGGCTCGGATGCATTTTTTTTAAGACTTTCAATGCATTTGCCCATTTCATGATGGGTGATTGAGGAGCACACCTGCCCACACCACATTGAGTGTTTAGCAGTTTTTGACCAAAACTGTACAACCCCATGGCCTACCCTCCCTGTTCATCCAATCTCGTCCAGATCAACTTTTTTTTGATTCCCCGGATGAAAAAAGTCAGCCAAGAGAAACATTTGCTGCTGTGGAAGAGGTGAAACAAAAAATGGCAGAAGCAATAAAAGGCACCAAAATCGACCAGTTCAAAAACTGTTTCAAGCAGTGAAAAAAACATCTCAATATGTGTACTGAATTAAATGGAGAGTACTTTGAAGGTGACTGAAAATTAAACATTTAAGAATACACAATTTTTAATAAGTACATTCCTGTGTTTTTTGGGTGCCACCCCTTAGAGAATGTTACAGCCAGGAAATGCTGAATCAGACTGGTGTACTGCTAACTCAGATGGAGATGCTAATTAATCCGCAGAGGAACATTTTTCCCACACACAGCCCCTGCCTTCAGGCCTGCCTGGAGGAGCACACTTCACATATTGAGGTGGCATTTGCTTCAGAATATTAAGTAGGAAAATTACAGTTGCTGAGTATATAGGCAAGAGTCAACCTTTTTCCCACTGAAATTAGCTGGCAAAAAAAAGAGAACCCATTTCCTCAGTGAGTTACATGTGAACTCAACATACCTTAGTACTGATAAGAACTTTCCAGAGCAGTGACTCAATGTAATAATTGGTTCCTCCCACGACAATAGGAATTTTGTCTCGGGCAAATATATCTTCAATGTCAATATTAAGAAAGATATCACAATATTTAAGATCAGAAGAGAATCCTGACTTATTCAGAAAGGAAGCTATAAGCAAGAAACTACATTCACTTGTCTGAAGAACAGAGGAAAAAGGGTAGAAACCAAGATGAATTGATACTGCTGGTCTTCACTGTTGCCCATGAGTTCTCAGAATCATTTTTGTCAATTCTAGAGGGATTTGCATAAACCAGAGACAGATAAATGATTGTTGTTACTTCCAATTCTAGAACTTTGTATTCTTAGGCCTTGCTGCTAAAATTCGATGTTTGCTTGGTATCCCAAATCAGCTTAATAAGCACAAACCCAAGGACTCTTCAAGGAATCAGGAGTCGGCTGCTCAGGAAGCCACCAAGGTTATGTTCGCTGACTTTGCTTTCTAAGGCAAAACACAAGCTAGTTCTCTAAGCTGTGGTTCTTCAGACTCAGTCTTCACCATTATGTGGTAGTAGTGGACATTTCAGCCACTTGAGACTCCACCAGATAAACCGAGAAGTACTGGTTCTAGAGACAAATAGATTTCAATTACCAGCTCTGATTCTTAGGCATGTTATTCAACCTGTCTGAGCTTCAGTTTTCTCACCTGTAAAGTCCTCATGAGTTCCTATGAGCATTAAATGTGACAATGCAAATAAATCCCAACCACAACGCCAGAAATATTTTTTCAACTGAGTAAGCATTCTATTTATAATTTTCTTTAGCCACTTTTGTTTTTATATCTCTGCTACTTTGAATTCTTCTCTTTAGAACTCTTTGAACAAATAATCATCTGCTTTAAGAAAGGCTTTGCGCCCTGGCTGGTGTGGCTCAGTGGATTGAGCATAGGCCTGCGAACCAAAGGGTGGCTGGTTTGATTCCCAGTCAGGGCACATGTCTGGGTTGCAGGCCAGGTCCCCAGTGGGGAGCATGTGAGAGGCAACCACACATTGATGTTTCTCTCCCTCTTTCTCCTTCCCTTCCCCTCTCTCTAAAAAAAATTTTTTTTTTTAAAAAAAGAAGGGCTTTGCTTCTGAGGATAACTGATAAAAAGAGACTTTCAACCTTCTTTTACACTCGTTTACACACTTCTTCCCCTTGCCAGTCGGCCTGTGGGCACAGACATAGATGGCCTCTTTCCTATCAGAAGCACACTAATGTTGAAGAAGTTGGGGTGGAGTGGGAAAATGTTAGCAATCAAGGATCATATAGAAGAAAAATTATGTATTTTTTTTTTTTTTAAAAGAGAAACAAAGTCCTGGCCAGGTAGCTCAGCTGGTTAGAGTGCCGTCCACATGCCAAAGTCACAGGTTCGATCCCCGGTCAGGGCACCAACAAGAAGCAAACAATGAATACACAAATGAGTGGAAATACAATGATGTTTCTCTTTCTCTCCCCCTTCCTCTCTCTAAAATCAGTAAATAAAAAAATAAAAGAGAAACAAATTCTATATTTTCAACCTTAAATACAATTACACAGTAGTTGTAATAAAATTTAAAATGTATAGTTAACAAAGGGAAAGGGGACAAAAATAATAAAAAGGCAAGGTTAAAAATGGTGGGATACCAGAAGGGGGTAAGAGTGATGGAGGGAAATGGGTAGGACACACTGAGGGTAAAAAGTTTAACTGATTTGCACAAGCAATGAAACAACTGTGATCGTGGGCAAAACCTTTCTCCTCGCTGGGATTCAGTATCTAGTACCTTTCTCTGTCTAATCAAGAAGCCTGAATTATCTTAAGGTAGTTTGTTTTGCCATTCTGATTGTAGGTTCTTCCCTAAATTCATTAAATCACCAATCCTGTAAGTGATTAGATTAAATCATCCCCTATTGTTGCTACCCTCTGAAAATTTTAACAGCTCCCCATTTTCTATAAATTCTTTCTGAACAACTGAATGGTCTCATAGCAACCCTGTATTGTGATGATATATTTTGCAATGGGCTTTCACAGACATTATCTCATCTAACACAACTGCCTTGTAAAGCAGGTTCAACAAGAATCATTATCCACATTTAAATCTCTGCTCATTTGATAGGCAAAAAAAAATTATCTCATTATTTTGATTTGCATGGCCTTGATTAACGACAGCAAGGATTTGTCATGTTTATCACCATTTATATTTCTTCCTCTTTGAATTACTACTCATTACCTTTAGTTTTTATATTGATTCATGAGTTCTTTATATATTAAGTGTATTAACAATTTGCCTTTCCTACATTACAAATACTTTCCTCCTGGTTTGCAGTGTTTTAAATTTTGTTTATAGTGGGCTTTCCAATTTAAAATATCATATATATGTACACATATATACACACAAACGCAGTAACATGTATAAATTATGAAGCCCATTAATAAAACAAATACTCATGAACCCAATGTAAGGAAAGGAAGATTATTAATCTCTTTCAAGTTTCTGTGTATTCATTCTCATCTGAACCCCCAACATCCACTGTCTCTGAGGGAACAATTATCTTGTGTTATTTTGGGTGTTTTTTCCCCATCATTCCCTTGCTTTTCTTTACATTATTATGTGTATACATCCCTAAAGAATATATGTATAGAATATATAATCACTATATAACAATACATTAGTTTTGTTTGTCTTAATCTTTATAATAAATGGTGTGAACATGTATTTTTCCTTCTACAATTCTTCAAATTTTGTTGTTTCTGAGATTCTTCCACACTGATGCATATAGATATCTCATTTTTACTGTTGAAAAAGTAAACTGATATGAACAAAGCAAATTTTATGTTCTTCCATAAATAGGAACTTCAGTGTTTATGTTTTTGCTGCTAAGAGGAATGCCGTTCTAGAATGAGATCTACCACCTATCTCTTGATATAGCTGTGGCAAGGTTTCTCTAGGGTAGATACATAGGAGTTCTGACTGATGCACAAATAATAAATTCTTTAATTCTTACATATTCAATTCTAGCTTTTTTCTTGGAAAAAAAAAATTACCGTTGTCCTGGCTAGAGTGGCTCAGTGGATGGAGCAATGGTCGCTGATTCGGTCCAGATCCCGTCAGGACGCATGCCTGGGTTGCAGGCCAAGTCCCCAGTTGGAGGCATGAGGGAGGCAACTACACATTGATGTTTCTCTCCCTTCTTTTCCCCTCTAAAAATAAATAAATAAAATATTTTTTAAAATTTATCACAGATGGTAGTGATGGCTACACAACAACGTGAATTTTTTGTTTAAAGAAGAAGTTTATTTAGAAAGTTACAGAGGTAGCAGAATTGAGCCAGCTGGGCTGTGCAGGTAAGGCTCAGGAAACAAGTTACAGAAGCAAAAGAGCCCTTGAGCTTCGGAGAGGGAAAGGAAAAGGTAATGTGCACCTGGGGGGAAGCAGAGGGTAAAGGGAAAGGCACAGGCCGGCTCCCAAGAAGGACAGCACACCTCCAATGTGAATGTATTCAATACCACTGAACTTGTCCACTTAGAAGTGGTTAAGATGGTAAATTTATGCTGTGTACTTTAATATACTAAAAAAGAAAAAAAATTTTAATTCATTAAAAATTTATAGAATATCTACAAAGCCAGTCCCTACTCTAAAACCACGTAACTACTCAATTATAATTACCCCATTTGTCTTAAAGTTTCATTAAAAATACATATATTAACTCTGAAACCTGAATTTATGTCATATATAAGAATCTGGGTTTTTTCCTAAAACATTTAACTGTCCCAGAATGATCAGAAACTACTACATTATTTTTTTTTAATTTGGAGTGCTTCACAAATTTGTGTATCATCCTTACGCAGGGCACATGCTAGTCTTCTCTATGTCATTCCAATTTTAGTGTATGTGCTGCTGAAGTGAGCACTCTTCGTTGTTTTTAAATGCTATGTTAATAAGCTAAATATTAGCTTGGCCAAAACATTTTCTCTATACAATGGCTCTAGTAGTGCTTAGTTGTCTTTAACTTCATTGAAAACAGTTTTGTTAGATTGTATTGTGACAGCTGTCAATCAGCATGCCTTTAAAAAAACTTATCAAAATTGGTGAATTTCTGTGCAGCCATTTTAATATTTAAGATGCAAGAAAATATGCAACATTTTTGGTGTATTATGCTTTATTATTTCAAGAAAGATAGAATACAAATAAAGATTTGTGCTGTATATGGAGAAGGTGCTATGACTGACCGAGCATGTCAAAAGTAGTTTGCATAGTTTCTTGGTACTACCGACATTTTTGCCAAACTCCTTGCTGTGGGGCTGTCTTATGCATGGATAAGTGCTTAGCAGCACCCCTGGCCTCTAACACCTAGAAGCTAATGGCAGGACATAGCTGACATACTCAAAATATCCAAATCAATATAAAGTTATTGGTGAAAATGAAAAAAATGTGGCTTTCTTTTACAGGGAAAAAAAAAAAACCCATATGGACTTTTTGGCCAAACAATTTTTATATGCATTTGAATTTGTAGCTGAATCTTCTATTCTGTGCCATAAGTTTGTACAGTATATAATTTTCTTACCATTATCATTACAAATTTTCTATGTTTTAATATCTGGCAGCCCAAATTACTATAGGCAGTCTAGACAATAAAATATAAGGGCAGTCTCCCTTATATTATTCTCTTTTCAAAAATTTCTGATGTTACTTATAACAACTTTTTTCCAATCTCTCCCAACCCCAGCAATCCCTTTGAAATTCTAACTGGAACCCCATTATATTTATAAATTAATTAAGGGTGAAAAACTGAATCTCAGTGTGGTGAATACCTTACTCAATAAAATTCACATGGTCAAAAGAAGTGGCTCTAAGACTAAAACACAGATTTTCTGGTTCCTAAATCAATGTTCTCTCCACTGTGCTTTTCAAATCTTAATGTGATTATGAATCACCCGACACTCTTGTTAAATGCAGAACTGATTCATTAGATGTGAAGTGAGGCCCAAATTCAGCATTTCTAACAAGCTCCCAAGAGATGCTGATGTTGCAGTCTGAGGACAAGACTTTGAGAGGCAGGAACACTGTATCCATCAATCCACACAGTGCTAATGGGACACTACCTATTGGTAGGTCTTGTGTGCCCCTGCTTAGACGAAACTCTCACTAGAAAGAAAACTTCTTTCTTGGCTTGGGCTGCCTTGCCATCCAGCAAACCTAGCTGCTCTCTTTAGTAAGGATATCAGAGCAGTTGCCTTGTTTCTGAAGTCCACTACTGTGTAATTTGTCACAAGAGGATCCACAAAGCTGATCATGTGGTGCTGGCATAGTCTCTGCTCCTGGGAAGACACCTTGTTGGTGATGATGTCTAGGCCTTCATAAACCTAAAGGAAAGAAAATCAGCATGAGAAAGTCATCAGCCTTCATCAAAACACCTGATGGGTGAAAATGGTAATCTGTTCCTCCCTCCAGCCAAACACTTGACTGACCCAAAGCACCAAAGTAGCTGTGATGTAACCAGAGCATAGCCAGATCCACAAAACCCAAGACAAAAAAAGCAGAAGAATACAGAACGCAGGCTTTCTTATGAAATACAGGTTTTACCCACTGTCCCAAAGTATGGCGTGCCTATGAAACTTTTCATATGATAAAATGGGGTAAAGAAGCAATTATCATTCATTTATATGAGAAAAATTTCAATCTTTCCCAGACCCCAAATTTAATGCATTAAAATGTCTTTATTTTGTTCACCATGATTGAAACACTCAATTATATCCATTTTTACACTAAGCATAACACCCTTAACAATCTCTACTAGGCTTTGTTGATACCTTAGGATACATTTTCTAATGGATGGACAAAACACACTGCGATAAATCACAGATGCTCTCAGACAGTTCAAAGCTATGATGGCTTTATATTGAGATGATGGGTGTAGTTCCCAGGGAAGGAGCTTTACAACAAACAACTTGCTGCAAAACAAATGCTGACCATTATTTTTGCCTTTTTTCATAAAAGCAAAAATTGTGGATTTCTTTCAGTCCACAAAAATGGTGCAGGTTTCCTCACCATCGAAGAAGAGCATTTATTTTTATGAAACCTTTCATAAAACAAAATGGTATAAGGCAAAGGAGCAATTACAATTAATTTAAAATCCTCTTCAGATTTCTTTTGGATAGCAAAAACAAGTACTAATGTAGATCTTACATAAAAGTGAAGTGGTTTTCATGCAGACTTTTGAAAAGCAGGGATACCTGTAGTGGCTATTAGCTCAGACTTAAAAGATTAAAAGGGCATGTAAATCAGAGCCCAAACGAAAACCAATTCTGCAGGATTAACCAGAGGTTCTATGGCCTGAACTTTAAGTATTTAAGAATAGATTGGGTGTTTTATTTATTCTACTTATCACAAGTCTCCAGAAAGGTAACATTTTGCATTGCTCGTAGTTCTACTTCAAATGCTTACATACCACGGGATTTAAATGGCTCTGAAAGACTTTTAGAATTTGTTTAGATTGACTAACTTTGTGAATAAGTGGCCTGTCTACAAAAATCTATATAAAACACAAAGTGAACTATACTTTAGTAATGAATAAATAAAACACACATATACACTTTGAAGTCTGACCGACCCCTAATACTGCCATTCCCTGGTGGAGGCATTGCGACATATCCGAATTACTGCTTCAGTGAGTCAGTCCATACAGTCTAAATACTCAAAAGGCAATATCCTCTCTGTAAACTCTTAGTCTGCCAATTCAACTAAAAAGTTCAAGTGTACTTTTTCTAAATGCAAGGTCTCAGATGGAGAACAGATCTGAAAATACTAGTTTGAAAAGTAGGAATGAATGCTTTGAGATTAAATGTTCTCTCTGTAATCACTGATCTACAGGGAGCATTGAGTGAACAAATAATAAGTTTCATAGAGGCCACAAAGATGTTAAAAGCATTTTTTATCTCACATTTCCCTTTACTTATATGGGTGTCAAATAAGCACAGTACAGTATAATGGTTAGGAGGAAGGAACCAGGCGCCAGGCTGCCTCAGATCAATTCCTAGCCCTACCATGCACTAGTTATTTGTACGTGAAATCCCTTATCAGTAAAATAAGGCTGATAATATCCATCTCATAGGGTTGTTGTGTGGATTAAATAAGTTAATACATGTAAAGCACTTAGTTTTTGCTTGGCACACCGTAAATGCTACATTAAGAGTCATTATATAATGTCTTATATGACAACCAATACCTCTATTACTACTATCACAACAACATAGGGAGAAAGTAGTTTTAGTATCACTATTTATCACTCTGAAGCCTTTTTGCTCTTAGCTACTGAGGTTATTTACCCAACAAGGACATAGCTATCTTCAAGTAAAAGAAAACAGTACACAGAAAAAAAATACAGATCATAGGGAAAGAACTAGCTCTGCCTTTAACTCATTTAATCTGTGCGTGACAACAGACTTGCATTCTTACACTTGAATATTGATGGAATCTTAAATCATAGTGTTCTTTTCTGTGTATCTTGAACACGATTTCCTTCTGATATTATCGAGTGCCGTAAGGTATACTGTATACTGGGGTCTTCTGTGCAAATTAAAACAACCAAAGAGGGGGGAGAAACAACTGTGTGTTCCTCTCCCTCTTTTCCTACAGCCTTTAGTTGGCTCTGTTGTAGCTTGAGTTCCAAAAGATCCAATGTTAAAGAATTTACATAGCAACAATTCCATTCTGCCTTTTAAAATTAACTTACTTGATTTTTTTTAAAGAGACAGGGAGAAACAAACATCAGTTGTTGTTCCATTTACTTATGCATTCATTTGTTGTTTCTTTTTTTAAATTATATTTTATTGATTATTCTATTACAGTTGTCCCAATTTTTCCTCCTTTGCCCCCCTCTACTCAGCACCCCCCAACCATGGGTCATGTGTGTAAGCTCTTTGGCTACTCCATTTCCTATACTGTGCTTTACATCCCCACAGCTATTCTGTAACTGCCTATCTGTACTTATTAATCCCCTCACCTCTACACCCACTCCCCCACACCCCCTTCCTATCTGGCAACCATCAAAGCACTCTCCGTTTCCATGATTCTGTCTCATTTCTTGTTTGCTTAGTATGTTTTTAGATTCAATTGCTGATATGTACTTATTGCCATTTTATTGTTCATAGTTTTGATCTTCTTTTCCTTAATTAAATAAGTCCATTTAACATTTTATATAATAATAGTTTGGTGATGATGAATTCCTTTAGTTTTTTCTTGTCCTATGGGAACTCCCCTGTATGTAACTAACTTTTTTTGCTGCTTTTAAGATTCTCTCTTTATCTTTAACCTTTGGCATTTTAATTATGATGTGTCTTAAGAGTGGGCCTCTTTGCATCCATCTTGTTTGGGACTCTGTGTGCTTCCTGGACTTGCACGTCTATTTCCTTTGCCAAATTAGTGAAGTTTTCTTTCATTATTTTTTCAAATAGATTTCCAATTTCTTGCTCTTTCTCTTCTCCTTTTGGCACCCCATATGATGTGAATGTTGGAACATTTGAAATTGTCCTAGAGGCTGCTTACACTACCCTCATTTTATTGGATTCTTTTTTCTTGTTCTGACTGGCTGTTTTTTGCTTCCTTATGTTCCAAATCATTGACCTGAAGCTTGGCTTTACCCACTCTACCGTTGTTTCCCTGTATATTGTTCTTTATTTCAATTAGTATATCCTTCATTTCTCACTGGATCTTTTTTAGGCTGCTGAGGTCCTCACTAAGTTCCTTGTGCATCCTTATAACCAGTGTTTTGAACTCTGCATCTGACAGATTTGCTTATCTCCCTTATGATCTGTTCTATCATTTGGGCCATGATTCTTTGTCTTGTTCTGGCAGCCTCCCTGTGTTTGTTTCTATGTATCAGGTAGAGCTGCTATGACTCCCTGTCTTGGCAGTGCAGTCTAATGTAGTAGGTGTGCTGTAGGGTCCAGTGGCACAGCCTCCCCCATCACCCAAGCTGGGTACTCGAGGTGTGCCTTTTGAGTGGGCTGAGTATACCCTCCTCTTGTAGTTGAGTCTTGATTGCTGCTGGCAGGTCAATGGGAGGGAATTACCCAGCCCAGACAGCTGCAAGGACTGGCTGTGACCACTGACCACCAACCTCCACCCTCCAAGGAGGATCAGCTGTGCAGGGGCAGGGTGGTGGTGCTCTGATGTGGTCTGCAGCTGACCAACGGGTATGCAGACTCCGGAGTTTCCTGGGTGGCCCAGGTCTAGGTCAGCCACGACCTCTGTTCTCCCTGGGGCTACCCTGAATAAGCTACAAAGCAATCTGCAGATGGCTGCTACTAGTGCTGGGCTTGGAGATTCCCAGGCAAAGCCAAGCTGTGAACCTACAGGGCTGGCGGCTCTCTAAAGTTGGCTGTGGCTTATTTGAGGAGATTTAGGAAGTTGGGATGCATGAGCCAAGACTAGCCATTCATATGAAAAAGCCACTGTTAAGAACTTGGGTGGGCTCCTAAATTGGGTGGGATAGAGCTCCAGGGGACTCCTAGGGCAGAGCAAACATTTGGCAGTGTTAGCCAGGTTGATGAGGTCACCTATATGGCACTCTGTCACCTGCCTGCTGGCCTTGTGGCTCTTTGGAGGAAAAGGTTCAGAAACAGGACAATGACCTCTGCCCCCCTTTCTGCCCATTCTTGCCTTGATGCCAGACACTTCAGTTTCTCCCTATTTGCCCTACTGGTGACTTTCAGGCTGCTACCCCAGTGCAAGAGCTCAGAGGAAGTGAGTCTTAGTAAGTCTGGGTGTGGGTTCTTTAAGAGGAACTGCTTGGGACTCCAGAGGCTTCTTACACTGACTCAATACCCTGCTGGTTTTTGCAGCCAGAAGCTATGGGCACTTATCTTCCTGGCACTGGAATCCTGCGTGGGGAAACTGGTGTGGGGCTAAGACTCCTTGCCCTCCGAGATATCCCTCCCTCATTTTTATCCACCATGTGGATCAGGGATCAGCCCACTCTGTGTCTGTGCCCCTCCTACCAGTCTGGATGGATGTAGTTTCTTTAATCCCACAGTTGGTTCTGACAGTTCTGGGATAGTTGTTCTATATTTTATTGTAATTTTGATGTGGTTGTGTGAGGAGACGAACCATGTTTACCTATGCTGCCATCTTGAGCTGGTTCTGTCTTTTATGTGCCCTGACCAGAGATTGAACCTGCAACCTTGACATATCAGAACAAAGCTCTAAACAAATGAGCTACCCGGCCAGGGCCACCAGAAGATTTCTTAACTCTGTAATTGGATTCGATTCTCATTTTTTAACACTGAAATTAATATCAAGGAAATGCATAGTTGCAATTGTACAATTACCATCCCCACCACCAAAAATGCTAAAATGTAAACAT